GCAACCAAATTTATAAGCCTCTTGAACTGAGACCAGCCATTCCTGTGATGGGCACTGAGCGAGCACTCTCATCAGTGGCACGCATGCCCAGACAACATCTATTCCTGAAAACAGGCTTCATTTTGACAGCAGACCCTTGCTCCTGCCCAGACTGCTTCGTCACACGTTGTTCCTGCGTAGGTAGAAGCCACTGGCATGCACAGTGCTTTCACACTCATTAAGCCGATAACAACATTGTTGGCACAGGATGCGACAGCCACACCTCTGAGACGCTATAGAGCTTGATGATCTCTCATCATCTAATCTCAGGGGCTCTGCAAGAGCCCAGAAGCGGCTGTCTATAGCAAGAACCTTACACACTGCAATTGTCTCACAGCAGGGAAAGCGGAATAGCAGCAGCTGGGGGAAGGGAGAAATGAGAGATACAGAACTAGACTGAGGAAACAAGAGACATGTCAATGGGTTGATTGTATCTGGAAAGTGCTTTGGGGTTAAGGATAAAAGCAGAGTATGCCTCCTTTCCCACTGACTCAGGCTTGCATCTACCCGAAGTCAAGTTGATGAGGAAGTCCCTGCAATGCATGTGGACAGCACTTAACTCATGCTTGATAATGAAACCCAGAAGACAGGAATGTCCTCCAAGAAATAAACGCTGATGTAGCATGGGTTTAACTTTCCTCAATTCCTGACTTTCTTAGCTGGATTTAGGTCACCTGATTCTTGGCTTTGGAAAATGAGCAGAGGTGTGTGCTGAATTCCAGACATCCTAATGCCAGCCTATGGCTTCCAATTTTACTGTTACTGGTCTTTTTTTTTTTTTTTTTTTTTTTTTTTTTTTAATCACTGGTATCATCAACCCCACCCGTCTTTGATTCCAGTTGGAATCTGTATATTTTAATTATATTCTTCTCTGTAGATAAAATAACATACAAGAAAAAAACAGATAGAACTTGAATCTAAGACTGCATGTTATTACTTTTTTGATCTTATTTTTCTTGGTTTGTGTCATTATTTTTCTTAGATTAGCTTCTTTTTTTTTTTTTTCAAGAAATCCATGTTAAGTGTTTTGTCAGTTCTCAAGAATGAGTGACTCACACTAGCGAAGTAGAAATCTTTATAAGCTAAAATGTATGTCAATTAAAAAACTAAATTGTTTTATTTTTGCTAAAAAACAAAAAAAGCCAATGCAAAGATTTCTGGCTTTTTTGAGATTGGACAACACATTGGCTAATTTGTATTGATTTTTTTATCTGCCAATCTAGATGTAATCAAACTCAGAAGCAAATTCCTACAATTTGCCTTTTGGTAAAATGTCGCGAATGCATTACATACTTTGAAAACAGCCTTTGCAAAATCAATTTATAATTACCAGATTTATTTAAATGATAGCTTTAGAATTCCATGCCGTGATTTAATTTGATTTAAAATAACTCTCTACATGCAGAACATTTCCCATCGTGGAAAGATTTCTCAATTATTTTCATGTCACCAGTGTTAAATGTGTTTCAATAACTGACCCATCTGCAAGCTGTGGGCTGTGTGAAGGCTTGTTTGGTTAGCAGAGCACATGTTTTACCTGAAGTCAATTAATAAGGAACCAACAAGGGAAAGTGAGGAGTTAAAGCCAAATGAAAAGCAAAGGGTTTTGGTGAAGGCGTTACAAACTTGACCTTGTTGATTGGCCTTTGCTTCAGACCTAACAGACCCAAAATACTTTGAATTCATGCAGTGTTCACAGGCTGAACAGGTATTCCATCTTAAATGTTCAGGGCCACTCACCGGTCTCTTTACAAGAGTTGATGTCTGATTATCAGCTGCAAATTTGCTGACCCCCGCCCAACATGAGTCTGAGAACACAAACTTTTGTTCAGGTTGGTCTTTGCATAAATTATTTCTTGATTTAGTCCCTCACTCTTCACGCCAAACTGAGGCTAACACATTATGGTGGTTTGGATAAGAATGGCCCCTATAGAATGATGTATTTGATTTGCTAGAACTATCTGAGAAGGATTAGGAAGTGTGCTCTCAAGGGATGTGTGCTACTGGAAGCATGCTTTGAGGTTTCAAAAGACTGTCCCCGCTCCTAGTGTGTTCTCCCTGTCTCCTGCTTATGATGTAAACTCTCAGGCTGTTCCTGTGGAACTGATGTTGCTCTACCAGTATGGACTCTAATCCTCTGAAACTGTAATCCTAATTAAACAACTTTCTTTTGTAAATTGCCTTGGTCATGGCGCTTTGTCTTAATAGTAGAAAAGTAATGTAGACTCTTGTATTCTCAGAAAGTGACTCTAACCCTCTTACAGCTATAGGCTAAATAAGATGCAAAAGCCAGTGAGATAACTATAGAGTTTTAAGAATAAAATCACTTCCAGCTGGGTGTGGGTGACGCACACCTTTGATCCCAGCACTCAGGAGGCAGAGGCAGGTGGATCTCTATGAGTTAGAGGCCAGCCTGATCTACAGAGCTAGTTCCAAGACAGGCTCCAAAGCAATACAGAGAAACCCGTCTCAAAAAACCAAAAAAGAAAAAAAAAAGGTCACTTCACACTAACAGAAGACACTGTGCTTTCGGCTATGTAGAGGTAGTTTGCTGTGAAAGCCAGACGCAGTCTTTTACTGAGTGTATTCCTTCCAGTGTTATTGTCTGTCTACATTTTTGAGTGACATGAATGGACCTTGTAGAGAAAACTACTGAGAAAAGGAAGATATTGTTATTTGTATTTCACAGATGGGGAAATGGAGATGAGAATCTAAGTCATGCTTTAATGAAGTTAGTGTCAGGATAAACTCTTCATGATTACAACTGTGGTTTCATGAGTCCTAAACTTTTCTACCCCCTACTAACTCCACAGAACAAGTGCTTCAAAGTCTCAAATCTCATTTCCTATCTGCACAGTATGAAGTGTCTGCCTGTTCATACCTGAATATTGCAAATATGTATTTATATGACTAATGGGTTTTCAATTCATGGTAGATTGTACACAGAATATTGTTAAATTGAAAGCCTAGGTATGAAGAAGGAAAACAGCTAGAGGTAAACAGATTAGTACTAAGTAGAGTTACAGATGTAGTAGCTAAATCTAGTCTGAAGATTAGTTTATAGCTGGAGCTCTACATTAGTCCTGACTGATTGCCTATTTAAAATCTAAAGTTCCCTAAGACCTGGCTCCACTGAAGCTTTAAGAACTGCCATATAGAAAAGAAGATAGTTAAAATAAGTACTATTTATTTTGCTTCTATTATGCCAAGTGTAGGCTTTTCACAAAAACATTCCCATTTCATAATTAAATTTAAATAACAGGTACACAACAGGGTCTCAGTGTATGAAATTCATTCTTTTGGAAGTTTTATTGAAACCATTAGCATGGATGAGACCTCTCAGGTAGAGTGAAAAGGATGATGAGGTCCTGAGGACTTAGTACTGACAATGATGTAGGTTAGTAGACAGTGTGCACTGGTGACGACCCTCTTCAGACTCTAAATGTCTGCCAAGACTGGGCTCAGAAGACTGACTTATTACCCTTCATTTTTATTAATCACCAATTTTAACATTAAAGGAAAAATGTGTACTGATGATGATAGAGGAAGGCAAATACTTTTCATGTGGAGGAAAGCTTTGGATAGATTAAAAAATACAAGAATGTGAAATACTAAAGTTGTGTTTCTTCATATAAATTATGCATATTTTATTATTTATAAATTATGCATATTAAAATTTGCTTAATGATGACTTCCTGATGCAGAACAAATTTAACTGTCTCCTTTCTGAGAATTATTATATTAGATACAACATCGAAATCTAAAAACCAGGACTCTTTCTGTCTTAGACATTTTCTAGTCATGCGAAAATGAAAAAAAATCACCATTTATAATTCACTAAATAATAAGACTGACAACAATAAATATAAGTAGAAATGCACAAAATACTAAAAGGAAAAATTTAAATGACACTACAGCATACTAATACTAGAATGCATAGAAAGATCAATCTTGATTTTGTCTTTAGAAAAACTTAATTTCAAAAACTGTGTATTTTTCTACAGTATCACTACAAACCCAAGAAAACACAAATAATTTTATGAGTGGGTGGTAACTCAAAAGCCTTAGAATGAGGACTGAATAGATAAAGGTATATACAAAAATTATGTATAATAAAACTATTAATTAGTTTACGATGGCACTGTGAGTCTGACATGAAGATAAAAAGACAAGAAAATATTTTGAATGGGAAATGTAACATCTTTTAGATACTATAATATCCATGTTTTAAGCTGTTTAATGATTGGTATATTTTCTGTACAATGAATGGTAATAGACTCATCAGTAATTGATAGAAACATACCAATGTAGAATTTTAGTAGGAAAATTGGCAGAAGCATAACTCTTGGGATGATTAAAAAAGTAGCTTAAGACACAAATCAGATGAAGGCTTCTTACTATTTTCCCTTCACAGGCTCCAAATGTTGTAGGATGTACACCACACAAATCAAGGCACAATTCTACAAATGAGTGTTTAATGCTTTCTTCTGCTTTCCAAAGTTGTAGACACTTCTAATCAAACAAAGCAAGCAGTGAATAAAGTGTAAAATAATTCTGATACACATATAAAAAAACAATTCTTACACATGTACATATTATGCTTACAAGGATTACCCTTTTACTCTACCTAAATAATGAAATTAGCATAAACAGCATATCAAAATCCAACTAAAGCAAGATTTAAACTTAAGTGACAAATTTCTTTTTCTCTAGAGCTCAGAGGGAAACAAGAGAACTCTAGAAATGACTTCTGATAGCATGAAGAGTTAGGAAATAACAAGAAGGAAATCATGAATGACAAATCAGTTCCTGTCTCAAAACACACAAAACTTTCAAGAGTTAGGCTAAATTTTACAATAGCAAAAGAAAGAAATGTTTTCTAAAATAATAAAAATAAATCTCCAATTTTCTTATTAGCAGTTTCAAAAAGAAACACCTTTTCTGACTTTTGAGACAACCGTTCACTGTTCTGAATCTTTCGCTAGCCCTGACTCTAGAGTCCTTCCATTTAAAGTGGCCGGAAGATGATCTTCTTTAAGCAAAGCTTCTAAGTAAGCATCAATCTGCTGGAGGTCTCCTGCTGGACCACCCTGGAAGAGAGAAGCCACAATCACTACAGGAGGAGAAGCTCAGCTGTTTTTCCTGTCATTTCAGCAGTCGCCACAATTGTCTTGGAGATAGCAACAGCCCCACATCACATCTGATTGATGCTCTTAACCTTTGTAAATGTTTTCTCATTTAATCTCATTTTCTGCCTACAAGTGGTTAAGGGCTTGAATAATGTTTTCTTCTTCAGTGGAAGTTAGTATTTTCCTCTTTCAAGAATTGGCTCGAGTGGTGTTGACAGAAGCACAAATACAATTACTATAATGGGAAACTATTCAGCATTAATTATCTTTTTGCTCTTTAATGTTGCGGCTTTTTAAATCACTTGCCCAATTACCAAAACTAAGGGGGATTTCTCTTCTGGAAGTATGCTAAAAAATTAAAGAAGTATCTTCAGTGTCTCATTTTGTACTTGTTATAGAAGGAATTTCTGATAAAAACTGAAAATGTGAATTGCTACTTCAGAATTTAACTTGGGCAGAGACCCATGTAGTCTGGATTAAAATCCATGTTCACCCTACTCTGTAGTAAAGTGCAGTGAATTTCCACAGTCCCTTCAAGGACAAAGTAATTCCCGGTCCTCGGGTTCCCTATGGGGTCTAAGTTCCTGCCTTCTCACTGTTAAATCAGGAAGACTTAACTCATGACCCATATCTAAGTGCACAGGTCCTTAAACTCAATGCTGGTTCAGATTTCCCCATTTATTTCTAGAACCCACAGAAAGCTTCCACAACCTTCTATTGCCAAGATTTCTATGTGCTACATAGAAGCTGGAGGGATGTGGGAAAGGGGCATGATATACTGGAAAAACAATGTTTTTATGAAAGCAATCACTATGAACAATGAATATATGCTAACAGAAGGAGATGGACCAATCCTTACTATGTCAATCCATCATGGAAGCATACAAACAAAACTGACAACCATTCACATTTATGATGTCTCTCAGGTTTTATTTTAACTTTCCCCTCTGAGATTAAGAGGATTGATCTTTATTTATATGTGAAGATAAAACAGCATCAAAATATCTCACTTTCCAAAAAGTTGGAAATTTTTACCTACTGGGCACATGGTATTGAGAAGCTGTTTGACAGACTGGAGGATTACCTAGGAAACAGAAATGGGGCATGCCTGTAGAGGATTACCTTGACTGTGTTAAGTGAGGTGAGCAGACCCTCCCACTGTGAGTCTGGGAATGAAAGTGGATAACAGGACCTAAGCAGCACCATGTACTCATTGCTTTCTGCTCTTGACTGTGGATGCGATGTAAGCATCCTGAAGCTCCTTAACTTTCATGATGCACTACATCCTTGCAGTGTAGACCTAAGTACACTCTTCTCTCATATATTCATTTCCTCCAGGTATTTTACTACAGCAAAAAAAAAAAAAAAAAAAAAAAAAAAAAGACACTAAGAGAGCCAGCAACTAATAGCACTAGCAAAGACTCTGGGGTTTATTTGGAGAAATAAGTACAGAAGAACCAGAAGAACTCAAACATTCTAATCTATGCCTTGAAGCTAATTTACCTCTGATGTACATGGTTAGCCAGATCAGCTGTTTCTCAGAGCTCAGCAGAGCAGCAGCTCTTCCCCTCACCGAATGGTCAGGCATTCTACGGAAAGCACTGTTTGTACCTAACTGCCAGACTTCCAGGTTCCTAGATTTCATGCCTGGAGAAATGAGTTTTTTATCAAAGGGCATATCTGGTGGTCACATGCCCTGTCCCCTGCCTGGCTGAAGACTTACACTTTGAAGCACCACCCTCCACCCCACTTGTTCAGAGAGATAGACAAGATCCCAACATGGCTATGTGAGCCTGACTGCTCTCTTCAGAGAACTCACCATACTGCCTCTCTGTAGCAGTGTTAGGGTCTGAACTCTCCTCCCGTTGTGTTGTCTGCCGTCTGTCTGTCTGTCCCCAACAATCTATCACGGTAACCCTGTTGAGCCCAATGAGAGCCCTTCCAGGTTTCAGTGCCATAATTAGTAGCAGGGACTGTGCTAAGCAGTTTACCTGAGGTGGGCGAGCAAAGCCCACTGTTGGCAGAGAAATCCAGGCACAGGTGAGCCTATTCCCACTCCTCACACTCTCACTCACCAGGTGAAGCTTCTGCAGCAGCAACGCCAGCTTTGCACGAAGGTTGTGGAGTTTTTCCTCAGTCTTTTTCCTTTTCAGTTCACACTGCCCCAGAAAAACTTCATTAAGTAGCCCTCTCCTGCTGGTCTCATAGATAAGGGACTGCATTTTTCTCTTGAGTCTTTTCTCATATTGGACCATGTAGATATTCTGGATCTGAGAATGTTTTTAAAGAACGCACAGGATATTTTCCCATAATACCCATAAGGCAATTTCACGTTCCAACCCCACACACACTGGCTATGAATCAACTCTGATACTTGAACTCTCAAGATGGAGGGGACAACAGCATATGGACAAAACTATCCTAAGAAGAGCAAAGAGGCCCAATGCAGTAAGTTTAAGGACCTTGGCTTTGGAATCATGGAGAAACCCCATGGTGGTTGAACTTGTGCTCTCTATCAGCCATACAAAGTCATCTCAGACACCATTACCTCACAGGCAGTGACAGACGGCCAGTTGCATGGAGTGTCTCAATGACGATATAGTGCTGTGACTCAAGTCTGCAGTGTCCAGAGCACAGAGACAAGGAATTCTACTCTCCTGCTCTTTAAAAAAATGCTGATGTAAAGAGCATTGGGAGGGCTCCAAAGCCCCTCAAGGATTTAGGGTCTGGGTTGTTTTCTAAGGCTGCTCCTGCAGGCCCCTCCTCCATTTCAGAACGGCATTACTTACTTGTATCAACATTTCAAGAGGACAGGGGAGATTCTGAGAAAACGGATACAGGGAAAAACCCGTTTTGATGAACATTTAAATATTTCTACTTTAGGATTTCTGTGTTCTAGTATTGGCTAGGTGACCAGGAACTGTAAGGCAGTCTTCCTCTTTGTCTAGGTCTACATTCTTTTTTTTTTTTTTTTCTTTTTCTTTTTTAAGATTTACATACATACATACATACATAAGATTCTTATGTATACGATGTTCTGTCTGCATGTATCCCTGCAGGTCAGAAAAGGGCACCACATTTCATTACGGATGGCTGTGAGCCATCATGTGGTTGCTGGGAATTGAACTCAGGTCCTCAGGAGTATCAGCCAGCGCTCAACCTCTGAGCCATCTCTCCAGCCCTAAGCCTACATTCTCACACTTCAGCACTCTCACTCACATGGATTAATGTGAGCAGAGTCCCCCCACATCATCTGCAACATCTGCTAGCCACACTGATCTCATGACTTCCTCCTCTATAAAACCACGTTTAAAACCTCACCTGCCTAAAGCCAATGCACTGTACTTAATTATTAGGACGCAAAGGTGTATAAGGCAGACTTTGCCCTCAAGCAGGTTTCAGTTGGCAGCATAGGGCAGTGCAATTATGCAATAATTCTATCTTCTGTAAGGTCCAGCTCTGCGCCACCCGCTGGGGCAGGTGGAGAGGGTGTGTGATTCTATTAAATTAAACAGCTTTATGTTTTGCCATAGCAGAAAAATAGAATCAGCCTAGGTGTCCAATAACGGGTGAGTAGGTAATAAAATTATATGCTGATACACAACAGAATTTACATAGCTGGAAAGAAAAATGAAATTTACAGAAAAATGGATGGGAACTAGGGAGCATTACAAGGAGGTGACTTGGGCTCAGAAAGACAAACACATGTTCTTTCTCATATGAATATCCAGGTGGGAGCAAATTAGGTAAGGACAGCGAACAGGAAAAGGGCTACGGGGATGGAAAAAAGAGGGGGTAGAGTAGAGGAGGAGATGGAGGAGGCAACGGAATGAAGTAGAAGTGGAGAATACTGGGGTGAAAGGGTGTATTTGCAGAGACGAGGTAGGGCAGACCATGGGGAGAATCAACAAAATGTATGGGAAGTCCACAGGAAACTTGGTATATACACCATAAGCTACTTTAATCAACTGATAAATTGAAGCCTCAACCTATGGCACTGTGGCTCAGCTGATGTTAGTAACGTTCCCTCTGATTAGCTGCATTTTTCATCAACTCAGCTGAGAGGAGTCTCCCAGAATGCTCCGCACTGGCAAGTAGCAGCCGTGTGTGTATGCATGTAGCATGTTGAAAAATCTTAGACTTTTTTTTTTCCAGAAGCTTAAACTGCCTGGGAGCTTGTTTGTTTTGTTGTGATTCCACAACAATTTCTGTTAGAGTCTAGTGTTTCAAAGACTCGGAGAATGTATTTACTAAAAACCGAGAATTTTATTTCGTGTTCAAACTGAAGTCCTACTCTGGTGCCTCATGAGCTCTAGTTGTGGGAACATTTGCCTTTTCAAATTCAAAAGGATGTCACTTTGTGACATCTCGTACACTGCACATTAATCTAAGTCTCGATAAGGACAGGCAAATTTGATTTCCTTCCAAACCTAACATTTGAAAACATGTATTATTTCCTTCTTGGAGCACAGGGTCATTTAGATTTCAGGATATAAATGGCTGCATGGAAAGGAAGCTTACCTTGCTGAGACATGTTTTGAGCTTTTTGTTTGTAGTCTCTGGGCATCGCTCCAGCTGTTTTCATAAGCAATAACAGAAAAGGACATTAACTTCACATGGTGATCTGTTTGGAATATGGTTAAAACATCCACGTTTCTAGTACAGAAAAGCATCCCAGCTTAGAACCAGCCAATGTTGGTCCTAGGGATGTTTTGAGCCTGGACTAATTAAGTTGAGTCACTGAACTAAACCTAATTGACTTTACCATTTTCTTTAAGAACTAAGGTAGCCTACATAAATAATAAACACAGGATTGTTTAGCAATCTACAGATAAATCAAGGTTAAGAAAAATAAAATGAAAACAGGCTATGTGAAGAAGGTGTGTTCTGGATGGAAACAGACTGAGAGCTACTGGCATACTGGGCAGGGTGACAAGAGATTAGATGATGTCACCTCGAAATGGCATTTGCAGAGAAAGAAATAGGGAGCAAGAGGAAGCTCTCAAGCATGGTAACATCCAGAATTCAAACAGAAAATAGTTACTGCAACAATGACGGGCTGGGGTGGGGGGAGAAGAAAGCAAGGAAGTGGGAGAAGTATGGCCATGGAGGCTATATAAAGGAAACTGAGCTGAAGGCCTCTGGGAAGTCAGGCAAGAAAATGACTATGGTGTTCATCACCCCAGAGACCACTGGGGACCCTGACAGGAAGGAACTCAATTAAATAATTCAGTGGAGGTCCATGAAAGAGGCTGAGGTGAGAGGAGAAGGTGAAGAAACAAGAGCGATGATTGCAGATTAGGACATTAAAGATGTCACTCAGGATCAACTGGGTACAGGACACCTCTACCCTATTAGTGATGTGCTCTTTTCACTGGAAGCCTTCCCTTGTGCATATGTCATTTCCACAATCAATACCAACCATGGTCATAGAGAAGGGCCTCTCAGACTCATCCTCCAGCCAGAAACATGGACTCCTCACTCACCATCACCTTCACAGGTAGGATAAGTTCCACTGGATTTAGACCAGGGTCTGTGCGAGGCTCACCTCTGTATCTGAGATGTCTGACCCATGTTTGCTTTCTCATTTTACAAGGCACTGTCACACTGTCACCAAGGGGAACTTCGGTGAATGCACTGACTTCATTGTTCTCCATGATGTTTAGAAAGTGTAGAACTCTTAGTACCTAACAGGGCTGATCTAAGCAATGCTAAGCTCAGCATCTCAGTATAGCAGGATGAGATCAGAAACTATGTTTGGTGGGAGAAGGATGGGGTGGCTTGAATGAGAATGGCCTCCATTTTGTTGGTCCTTGGTGGAACTATTTGGGAAGCATTAAGAGGTGTGTCCTTGTTGGTGGAAATGTGTCACTGGGGGTGGACTCTGGGGCTAGTCTCAGTTAGCTCTCTATACCTTGTGCTTATGAAACAGAATGGATGCTGTCAGCTACTGCTCTGACATCATACTCACCTGCCTGCTGCCATGCTCTCCACCATGATGCTTGTGGACTCACCCTCTGAACTGTAACCACAAATAAACTTTCTTCTGTGAGATGCCTGACCATGATGTCTTCTCACAGAAATAGAAAGGTAACTAAGGGAAAAGGCAAGTTTTTTTCAAGCAACGGTCTCAGTCTGTAAGATCTTCTCTGCCTTACCTGGCCTGTAATCACAATGACTTCTCACATGCCTGGTGTGTGACCTCTGTCTCTATCCACTGAAAGCTTTCCTAAGTCCTCTTCTGCATGGGGCTCTAGGCTTTTCTCCACTGAAGACTGGATTCAGGCTATTCTGTCATTCACTCAGTTCCAAAATAGGCAGCTTACCTTGGGACTTGTTACGAGTTCTTCCAGAGATGTACACTCGAATTCTGATGACAGTTGAAACTCGGGAATGAAATAAAGAAGAATCTCTCTAGGAAGATGATCATAACAGAAACAGAAGTGTACCCAGAACAGAGAGGTAGCACCTGCCCATTAGAACATGTTCTGTCTCTTAGCAAAGACAGATGTTAGTTAGTTCCTAACAAATATTTTGTTTTCACCATTGACATCAAAGTGCTCTTTAGAAAACTGACTGGGGTTAGGGACTCAGGCGTGGTCATACAAGAGGCAACAGCAGAGAGCTTCCAGTGATGGACATGCTCTGAGTCTTGGCTGGGTCAACACTATCTCCTTGATTGTGGTTCTGTTCTGCAGTTTTTTAAAGATATTGTCATTAAGTTACATCAAGTAAAGAACACACTTTTATGTTCATATCATTTCTTTGAACCATACATTTTATGTTATTGCTTATTTCAAAATTAAAAGTTCGTTAAAAGAATAAAGACAAAGGAAAACCAAAGGAGAGAAAAAGAGAATAGGAAGAGAGGAGAAGCAGCAGAAAAGAAGGGGATAAAAGAGAAAAAAAAAGGGACTGGGTAGAGGTTTGAGTGGGTAAAAGAGAAGTATGGGAACTGGTGTTTTGACACCCTGCACCCACGTAACTGCCAGGTGGACAAGGTGGGCCCCCCCTTAATCCCAATGCTCCAGAACCACACACACACACACACACACACACACACACACACACACACACACAAGCAAGCAAACACATACACAAAAGCACACATACCACAGATACATTCCTGCTGATGGGGTGGAGTAAGGAGGGGGAGAGACAGAGACAGAAACAGGAGAAACACTTTAAAAGATAAAAAGATTCAAAATACCTAGAAATCTGCAACTAACCATTCCAGGAAAGCCCTGCACCTGTGTGAATGTTCTTTTTCTATAGACAATTCAGCACTGAAACCTTCCTGGAGGAAAATAACCACCACAGGGCTACTGATTCTATTCACCTCCCACCAAGAACAAAGGTGCTTAACTACCCAAAAGCAATTCCCTTCATTAGAGCCTGCAGGGCTAGTCTTAAAATTCACAGATGGGCCCAATGTGGTGGCATAGCCTTTAATCCTAACATTTGGGAAACTGAGGCAGGGAAATAGAGTTCAAGAACATCTTGAGTTCCATAATGAGACCATGTTTCCAAGAACAACAACAACAACAAAAATCACATATGGATGCTCTTCTCAGACACTGGGGTCCCCTCATTTGAAGGTACTTCATTTCCCTGAAAGGCATCAGGCTTTTCTGATGGCACTCCTAGGAGAACGTGGAATCTAGACATGTCTTCCAGAATCTCAAGGGTTTTCTTTCTGATGTGCTTCCTATGTTCAACCTTGTGTGCCCTTCTGAAGCTAGTTGCCTGCTAAATAGCTCCTCTGTTGAGAATTCTGTCCCTCAAAGCAAACTTATGAGAAAGACTGATGATGCTTAAATCTCCAGTCTCCAAAATTAATTCAACCCCAAAAGTCAGACACTAAAAGGGGGGATGTAACAAGAATTCATACATGTAAGGTCTACTTATAACTATTTACCGGTTCCTAAAACTTCCTGCAGTTATTGGCATGGGTCTCTTTCTCCTACATACTCTTGATTTTTTTGTTCCAAAGGTCTATCACATTTAACCTCTCCAATCGGCCTCTCCACTTTTGGGTTTTCTTTACTGCAGACACAACCAGCCACCCCTAAGGGAGGCAGAGTCTGGAAACTTCCTAGGGATCGGTGCTCATTAGGATGACTGTGAGCACTGAAGAGTCTCCATGTTCTCTAGGCAGATGGTCCCTGGGAATACTTAATATTCCATTGCTGCCTAACAACAGAAGTGGATGTGCTTTAAAGTCTTGGTGCACTCAATCAAAGTGTCCCCCTCTGATCACATGTAACTCATTAAAATCAATCGTACCAGTGTTACACTTCCAGGGAGAAAAAAGACTAGCCAAGGGAAAAATAAGAAACATGCTGAATTTAAAAAGAATGTTTATGCAGCTAGAAAATGAAGTTAAATAACAATGCATCTGAACTCTGGTACAATACACTCAGGAAGGTCTCTCCAAGTTACAGTGTGGTATGCCGATAAAGATACCCACCTATCCATGGTTTTAATTCATAATAATTCTTGGGTGGATATCTAAAATATTATAAAGGCACAAAAATGATAGTTACTATTATCAACAAAGTCTGGTTCACTTTCAGCAATGGCCCAATCACTAATTATGTAATCCTACCCACAAACTTTAAGTGATCTTCATATATTTATTCAGATAAGTACAAGTATACAGATATATATCAAATATATATGTATAGTTGATTGCATAGTACCAGAGTAAAAGTAGCCAGTAGTTATGCCTGAATCTTAATATTCATAAATAAACCAGGCTAAATCTATGGCCATCTAACTGCAAGGTTAAGGATAAAAAATAAAATGATCCTCTGGAAAGTGCTGGAAAGGATGAAGAACTATTAGAGAAACCCATTCTTTAGACATTCTGCTGACAGGCACGGCAGTATGATAATGGCATCCATCCATCCATCCACGTCACTCCACTAGTGGCCTTTACTATCTTATAACCTATGTACATAGTTGAGTGGAGTGTGTCCTATTTCTGTCTCCTTTCTCTATGACTATAGGTTTTCCAACTCAGGTACAGTGTGAGCTAGGAGGAAGGTAGTACTAGGGCTTTACTGCCCTGACAACTATTTGACTTATTACACAGAACTAAGTACCCTTCAATCCCCTGGGGCAGGACTGATGTTAGGCCTGACTCCTGAATGACAGCTTGTATAGCCTCCACACCCAAGAAGATAAAGCACTTCCTCCCCCAGTGCTGCCACAGGGACTCCATACAGCCACATAATTGAGTCTGTGTCCACAGTGGCTCTGTCTCCTTTCCCACATAGGACAGAACCTGGGCCTTAGTGGCGGCTATGGCTGGCTTTTCTTTCTTCTCCTTTCCTTCATCTTTTCCTTCTACTGTCTACTCTTTGAAAACTCTCCTCTTCAAGGGGATTCATTTACTCTCTTAAGAAAATTTAGGCCTTAAGGGGAATATCACTCCTGGCAGGATATGTTGCTGGATTTTTCCTTTGTCCCACCAGGTCCCACTGCCACTTTAGCACCAAATAAACACTGAGTCAATATATTTATTAAACTGTTGGCTGATGACTAGGGCTTCTTACTGGCTAGTTCTGTCTTTATTATTAACCCATAACTACTAATCTATGTATTTCTACATGGCCTTATCTTACCAGAGAACACCTGGGGCATCCTATCTTCCCAGTCCCTCCATGGCATCTCCCTCTGCCTACCTTTCCCAGAATTCTCCTCATCCTCTAGTCCTGCCTATCTTCCTGACTCTATTGTCTATAAAACAGTGTTTTATTCATCAACCAGTAAGAGAAACATATATACAGAAGGACAGCCCCCTCAAGGACAGGTTTGGTTTTCTTCCTGGCTCAAAGCCCCACACCTCTTTGAACCCAGAAAAATCAATAGTGAATGGGACACCTGCTCCTACCCTGCCCTCCCCTATGTCACCTCTCTGAAAGCACAAATCTGAACACAGTTCCATTGTATTGACAGTAAAGCCCTCTCTTCTATCAGTCCCTATTCAGAAAGACCCAGAATCTTCCGTCCTTCCCAGTCTCTCTTTTAGGAGCTAAACTTAAGACCTACATTCCTCAAGTGACCTTATCTACAAATGTTAACATTCAACTGACCAAAAAGTGAGTTTTCTTCTGTAAGTTCTTTATCAAAAACCACAAGAATAGATGTTTAAAGGCCATGGGAATGCCATGCTTGTCTTTGTGAATACAAAAGAATTATGAAATTCAATAAAAACTTCTTTATTACATTCAAAGGAAGAATACCATACATATGTACATCCATCATACTGCTGGGCCACATAAAAATGGGCAGTTAGTGAGCACAAGCCTCTTTCAAGGGACTATTAACCTGTGGAATAGCTAGCTGATAATAGTGGGAAAGGTCATAAAATGATTCCACTGAATGTATTCATAACATCTCCAATTGATAGAAAGTCAAAATAAAGCAAAACAGGGTTTGTCACTGCTTACTTCAAACATTCAACAAAGCCTGTGGAAAAATTAGCAATTACTCTTACTTTAAATTAGACATTAGTTTTCTTGCTGTTTCCTGGGCAGATGTACTTTGGGAAGGCATCAGAGAAGAAGGCAGCTGATGATCACCATTCTTGGAACTGACTTCATGTCCAGAGAGTAGACTTAAATCTTCCATTTGCATTCTGGGCAAGCTGGTGTTAATGAGGTCAAGAATAACAACATTAGATTACACCCATTTCAGAAACAGTCACCAGCAGCACACGAAATGTCAATACACAAAAAACAATAGCACAGGCATCAGTGCCACACTCAGAGTCTCCACATGTGTAATTACATAAAGTCTTACAGTGCATCTGATCTTAGCCAAAGGGCAGAGAAGCAATATGTAAAATAAAAATAAAAAATTTTAAAAGAAGGAAAAAAAGAAAGACAAAGGGAAGAAAAGTCTTAGAGTGATAATCATTTATTTTCATTCATTGCTTCAAGGTTTCTGGGTAGCATCTATTAACAAAATTGGTAATAATTCATTATTTAGGACTGTTTTGAGGCAGTGTCTTATGTAGCCCAGGTGGCCTTGAACTCACAAATGTAGCCAAGATAGCCTCAAACTCCTGATCTTCTTGTCCCTTCCCAAGTACTTGGGATTACAGGAGTATACTACCACACCTATATCACCTTGGTCAGTAATAGTTTATTCTTAAAGACAGATATGTATCACTCATTTCTTTTTTCTTTTCAGGAAGAGATATAAAGTTCTATTTTACACTTACAAAGATGCACAATAGCAAAACTTAGAGTATCAAAGGTGGTAAGAGAAATACCTAGTGAAAATCGGGATGGGGGGAAATGTTCTAGGGAAAGAATGTTCTAGGGAACTATCCTGGTGTATCTATCAGTCAGTGTGAGCCTGCACAAAGAATGCAGTATTACAGAAGACCAAAAGCTTTGGGTATGGTTGGAACAGAACAGTACAAAACACCAAAGGTGTTAGAATGAGGAAGGTTAAGATGGACAGAGATGAAATGGGTACAGAGGGCAGATGAGACAGCTGTATTTTCAAGTAGTAATAAACACATTTTAATCCTTTCAAAAAGATATGTTTAAATTCAAACCTCAGCTTTGGAGAGTTTTATGTGATTATACTTGGAAGGCCTTTAAAAACTGGTAATAGTTTATACAACAAGGAATGCACCTCTACAGTCAGCTGTTCTTTGGAATTCATTATGCTATCTTACTTCAGCTGACCATTTTAAGATAAAGATGTTATATAAACTACTACTTAATCATCTGTTAAAAAATATGTACACAATGCCTGAATGCTCATTAAGTATAATCTCCTTTATATGGATATTTTATTAAGGATTTTTAAAAAAAATCATTTTAAGATCACTGGAAATTATCTCTGGTGTCTGGAGTAAGGGTAAAATATTTTAGGCCAGTCTGTCAATGGTGGCACATGCCTTTAATCCCTGTACTTGGGAGGCAGAGGCAGGCGGATCTCTGTGTGAGTTTGGGTCTAGCCTGGTTTACGGAGTGAGTTCCAGGATAACCAAAGCTGCACAGAGAAAAACCCTATCTCAAAAAAACAGATACATGGATGGGTGTGTGGGTGAGTGAGTGGATGGATGGATTGAGGCCACAGCCCAGGAGTTTTCCTTCTGTCAAGTGTTACAAGGCTCAGTGGTACAGCACCTGCCTAGCATTCATAAGCACTATGGGAAAGAACTAATAACTGGGCCCATCTCACATTAGTATACTGAGGATTATATGAAATGTATAACTAGCTTAGTTCAATACTGAGAATTAAGTGATTAGCAAACAGTACCTAATAATTATTGTTATTGTGATCATCTTTATCATCGGTATCGTCAGTACTAGATTTGATCATTTTTTTCCATTAAGGTTGTTTTAGTTGGATTATAGTTCTAACATTCATTTTATACTAAGTCAACATTGTTTTTTAGTTTGGTTGGTTGGGTTTTTGTTTTTTGCAGTTTTTTTTTTTTTTTTTTGTCCGTTTTGAGATAAGGTTTCTGGCAGTCCTGGAACTTGCTCTGTAGACCAGGCTGGCCTTGAATTCAAGAGATCTGCCTGCTGCCTGTCTTTTCCTCCTGAGTGCTGGGATTAAAGGTATGTACTACCACCACCCAGCCTGGGTCTACAGTGTTCAAAGATGAACTTCAAGAACTAAAAGTCATACCTACACACAGACACACACACAAATACCTATGAGCATACTAGTATCTGGGTCTACCTTAAATTTTAACTCACATTTTAACAAATAATTCTATATTAAAGTCATGATAAGGCCAGGAAACAGCACTAGTGGAAAACTATACCATTTATCCAAATAAACAGAGTGCCCACTACAGTTAGGCATCTTTGCGGCTACTGGACACCCAGGGATGAAAAGAGAATCTAATTTTATGGAGTTGGATTTATTTCCATGGAAAAGAGGAAACAAACAAGCTGCAACAGAAATGGCAAAGTGTTTAGCAAATAGCCTTGGATGCTGAAGGAGCTGTCATATCACCTGGTCACTGCAGCAGGGACCAGGGACATCTTCCGAGGAGAACCAAGGAAGAGAACGGTGTTGATCTGAGACCCAACTGTAATGGGCAGAGGGCATACATGCATCCAAGTACAAGAAGTTGTGTGGACAGAGAGGACAGGTGTCTAAATTATAAGTCATTCAGAACTTCTGGGGAACAAAGTGGAGGCTAAAGGCATTTGTGCCATGGAGACATTTCAAAGCCACCTTCAAAGTGACAGGGTTAAGGAAGGCTTCTAAGTAGCTGGCAGAGATGGACATGCACACTGGAGTGACAGGGAGTGACAGACATAAGAAAACTCTATTGTCTTGCCTTTAATTCAAAGGGTTGCAGTACAAAGAGTGCAGGATGTGGAATCAGCAAAACACCCTGAATAATTCAGGGAAGCTGAGGTGAGTGCAGGAAGAGTAAGTGTTTTCTTGAAAACAGCCTTTAACCCCACTACGTATATTAACAATATCTAGTTGATGTTCCCAATGACAGAATTCTCTTGTCAAGTAAATTCCAGAATGCATGGATTATAATAATTAACAGTATGTTTGACAATAAGTTAATGAGCTACCCAGGGGAACATTAGTCCTATGATACCACACCTTGCATGTGTGTGACTCTCACTTCGTTGGTGACAGTACAGTAATTTGGTTATCTATTGTGAACAGGAAGTGAAGCCTGCTCCCTTTCATTACTCCCAAAGCCTCACAAAAGAAAAGCTTTGCAGAAAAAGAGAGTTTTTTTTATCCTTTCAGCTCTTTATTGTAAAATTTGGTGTCATTCTTAATTGCCTTCGCTGCTATTATTTTCTTTCTTCTTCTAGTTACACACTGATAATTACTTTTTCAGCTGTGTAATTACACTCGCTTGGAATCCGAATGATAATGGTATACACACCTTTCCCAGTTAAGCGCTGAAGGGTTTCCTTTCATTACCAGAGTTTCATCACACAGCTCTTGTTTTCCTTCAAAAGAACATAGACAAAATCATTCTGATGAGCACACAATAAACTGTACCCCCCCCCAAAAAAAAAAAAAAAACAGAAAAAGAAAAAGCTAGCTCATTAACTACCTATGTAAATTTTGGATACATATTATTTGTAAAGTATGCCAACTTTAAGGCAATTCATAACACATTCTTTTTTTTAATTTTATTCATAACACATTCTTAAGGTAATTTATCATCATTTTAATGAAGTATATATTAGTGTATATAATAATCTAAGAGCGTCTGAAGCCTCTTTTCTGTAATTATTTGTACTATGCTTACTACAAGTGTCTGGATACCTGATACAGTCTGCTCAAACTGTATGCTCACCCCACTTTCCTCTAAGATGACCTGCTGTCTTCCCTCTCACAATCCACTCTGTCCCAGTGATTTAGGTTCAAAGAGATCTGATGGCTCTGGATGAAAACTGAACCTCAGGGAGAGGGCTGAACTTCAAGACAGGAAGAAGCCTGCAGTTTCTAGATCTTCTCTCTCAGGAAACCTCAGAATTACCATTCGAGAGAGGTCGGTGGTTTGTTTGGAGTACACAATTTCTGTATGAAATTAAAGCCCATGGGCTAGATGAGTGGGCATCTAACATCTAGCTCTATAATTCTTTGTTATGACAATTTTGATACTTTAGTTTCACAGAATTAACAACGACTGTCATGTTTTATTGCTACCAGAGGCCACACAGAAAAAGAGAGCAACAAGGGAAGGTTTACTTGGTGGGGAAATGCTGAGGATGCACCAAGTTCCCTCAAGGAAAACAAGAGAAATAATGGATTGACAGGTTCTCTAAGAGCATGGTTGGTAGCACCAGCATTGCTTGCTGACTTGTTTTCAAAGTAAAACAATTTAACAACAGTCGACTGGTCCATAATTATAATCATTGGAAATATTTCACAGTTCATTCTTGCCAAATCTAGAATGAATATTCGAAGTTAAATATGAATCTTAAGATCAAAATTACATTAGTACTTTTTCCATCACAAACCAGAACCATACTTAATAACAAAGTAGTAGTTGGAAACATCTATGAAAAACTGGTATTAAAATCAAGAGATTATTACCCAAAAAAGTCCTGATTGTAGAATTAAAAAAATCATCCTAATTAAGATGAAAAAGAAAAGCTATGATTTCTTAGGGCCTCACTGATGAGTCCAAAGGTGACATCGTGAATAAACAGGTGATAAGATTACCTAGGCAACAGAGAATTGGGAGCAGGGGGACAGGAAATTACTGAGGAAACTGGCCACAAAATGATAGTGTGGATAGACAAAAAAAAAAAATCCACAAATAATGACAAAGTCAAGTACATAAACTGATGGTCACCAAGGAGACTAAGAAAAACTTTAAAAATAAGGACAATTGGTGAGTATGGTGGTGCACATCTTTAATCCCATCCCTCAGAAGCAAATAGATGTCTGTAAATCTGAGGCTAGCCTGGTTTCACAGCTCATTCCAGGAGGCTCTGTCTCAAACAAAACAAAAACAAATGAAACAACAAAAAAATAAGAACAATGACCATGACAGCAAAAGGGATGGGGTGTGTGTGTGTGTGGGGGGGTGCTTTAGTCCCAATGACAGACTATTAAAATAGTCTTTATATAAACTGACAAAAGCATTGTAATGGTGATGACTGGCTCCTAAAAAGTATGAGGTTTTCCCTAAGGAAACTGTCACTGGAGACTACTGCTGCCTTGAACACTGTTAGGTGAGAAATTTCTGCTAGAAGTTCAAATCTTACCTGAAATGCACTACATCCCTCCACACACAAAAACAATGAATATGAATGGTCTAATTGAGATATTGGGGGGGGGGGGACGGACGACGGACACAGAGAAATCATGAACACAGGAAGGGGACTAGAAGACTGAAACTGGGGAACCATTATAATTTTAAAGCAGATTTTGAAAATTATAGACTTTATGTCAATCCTTGGCAAAATTCCAAAGAGAACTTAGTGTGGCCTGGCTCAGGCCTGTGGGAGATGAAGACAGTGTGGCATTGTAGGGTACACTATTCCCAGCCAGAAGGTGTCTCTCAGCTCTGTCAAATACAAATTATCTTTCCATCCCTTCTCCTTCTAGAACAACAAGTTTATTCAAGTCCAAACTCCTGAAAACCATCTGGTCTCTGTCTGAGCAGTCAAAGATGGTCACACTGGAACAGCATCACCCCTCCAGCCATCTACTTCCTCTTACCTGTGTTTGCAAGAGGTACTTCTGCTCTTTCTTGTTTCAATGAGACCTTGGTGCTGGTTTTATCCCAAACCTGAAAAAGAAAAATAAAGTTCTTCATTTAAAACTGAAAATACATTGGACAAGCAAAGGCTTGACAGGCAGTGCCCATGTCAGAGAAGGGAGACCATGATGATACCAGCACCAAGCTATGCACGAGTTTCTGAGGTAGCGAATGATCACTGGAGACAGCTACGCTGGTATGCCCTTCCAGAATGACTGCCTTTATAATGGTATGTTTACTCTTATTATTTGTATGGGGTGTTTTCTAAAAGTCCTATTTATTTCCAAAATTGATCTTGTACATGGCAGTAACCGTGTCTCCAACAAATAAGTCAAGAACTTGATTTACCAGGAATAAATGGGAAACCTGTGTAGTTTGGACGAGGGTCAGCACATATAACTGAGACAGAGTAGGAAGAAGCTCAAAGAACAGTGCATGAATAGGGCCACCTTTAATTCTAGAGGCAGACAACTATGCAGGACATGTGTGAGGTGGGGGGTAACATTCCTTAAATTTGTAAACCACACCCATCATCACACTGGGTATTCTCCAGGATCCCTTTTACAGGGCTTGGTGGAGTCAAGTTTAGATTTCATTTCCAGAAGACAGTTCCATAGATGAGATTAGTGGCATGGGGAGGGAGAAATGAATATGAGTGTGGCCTTCAAGGAAAGAAAACCTAAGAGCTGTAAGCCTTATCAAGGTAGAAAAGTAAGCAGTTAAAAATTCAATGACTTAAAGAGAGAGAGAGAGAGAGAGAGAGAGAGAGAGAGAGAGAGAGAGAGAGAGAGAGAGAGAGAAAGCAGAAATAAGGCAGAGTTCCTCCTCTCCATCCCCTGTTGAGATGCACACCAAGACACTTGCTGGGAGGCATGGGAACAGCTTGTTCTCTGAAGCTTCTTCATAGTGAAAGCCTCTCTTTTGTTGCTGTTGCTGTTACTTGTTTGTCTGTTTGTTTTTGAGACAGAGTTTTTCCTGTGTAACAACTCTCTGGCTGTCCTGAATCTAACTCTATAGGCCAGGTTGGCCTCAAACTCAGAGACCCACCTGTCTCTGCCTCTTGAGTGCTGGGACTAAAAGCATGCACCACCACCGCCTGACATAATGAGAGCTTCCTTTTTGCTCCTTACCCATACACATCTGCTAACCAAACACTGTGAGGACAGAATGTCAAGCTGCCTTCTCCTGCTTCCAGAAAACAAATGTGGATTCGCACACAACACTTTGGAAACCACACTGTCTGGAAGCAGGTTAAACAGGCACACCTGTAGTCTACCAACTGCATAACACTAGTTGTCCATCAATGCCCTTTTCTATTTCAGTCAAACAGAAAGAAGAGTCTCCCAGGTAGGGGCAAACCGCTGCTTTTCCGCTACTGTGGTCCATTTAAAATACATTTGTGCTTATACTGTAACTATCTCAATTCTCCAAGAAGAAAGAAAGAAAGAAAGAAAGAAAGAAAGAAAGAAAGAAAGAAAATGCACATTTCTGAAGTCCATTTTGTAAAAATCTTAAAAGTGACTTCCAGATGTATGCCTTTCTGTGTTTTTTGACATCACATAAAAATATTGGTTAAAATAAAAATATTGGATAAAGAAAAGCTGTGTGATAGTAAAGCGTCTCTATGTTTGGACTCGATAACTTTTGAGCAGGTTACAAGTAGCATAGATATGTTCACAAGAGTTAACAGTGACTGTAAGACAAGCTTAGGAGAATTCCCTATGCCTTTAGTTACCAGTGTTATTCTGATGTGCAATGATCCTGTTTATGTGTATTGATTGACAAGACTTTGTCGTCCAATAGAAGCATCCAATCTGAACTAAACTGGCACTATTCCCAGCAAGGGACACTTCCTGTTAGTGCTCCCTACACAGGCTTGTAAAGCGGTTATTGTTTTCATTCTCTTCTTCATTCTGCTAGGAGCACAGCATTGTTAGGGCTGTTTCCATTAGAAAACCATATGCCTCAGACACCCATTTTATTTATTTGTTTGCTTGCTTATTTTGGTTTCTTGAGACAGAATTTCTCTGTGGACCTTGCTCTGCATAGTTCAGGCTGTCCTTGAACTCATAAGTGACAACTAAAGACATATGGCACCTGCTTGGCTTATTTTTCTATGTCCACTGCTGACTTCTCAAAACCTAGCTTAAGGAGAGGAAGCCAGTGTACATGAATAAAAACGCTTGATTTAATTTTTTGACCGTGATGATTTGAATCATCGATCTTTCTCTTTGAATCTTTGGTTTTAACCTTTCACACATATCAGGTCCAAAGGGAACCCCAATTGCCCCAAAGCAATGAGTAATTCCAAAATGACAATCCAAACTCAGCTCAAACTGGACTATGGAAGAATCTCTCCCACAGAATTACTCAGGAACCTGGGAAGTGAGCTCTCTGTCTGCCAAAGGGAGCCCCTCCCTTACATTCCCTTGCCTTCAGAGTCCCTATTCACATTTGCATGGACTTTGTATGTCAAAGTCCATGCTAGCATTCTGGTCCTTCTCATCTCCTGATACACCTTAAACTCTCAGGCTGTTTCAGTTCACGGGCTTCTCTCTTCCCCCCCCCCAGAAACTCTATTCTCTTTATGATTTTTCTTGATCCTGCCTCCCCACCACCTTGGGGTTTGGAATAAACTTCTCATTTTCCACCCACAGAGTAGTCAATTCAACCATTTCTTTATTGAGCTGTCCCAAACATCACAAAATTTCACCTTCACAAGGACAAGGAGTGAACATTGTCACAAAAAAAAGTGTCCTCTGTTGGATCCCCAACATCTAGGTCAATAATTAACAACATATAAAACACTGGAAAGACATGTGTACTGTGACAGCTAAAGGTGTGTGAAATAAGTCCAGGAATGAGAATCAGAAAAGGAGAGCTTGGGTTTACACTATTTTCTTTTTACCTTTTTTTTTTTTCCCCCACAGAGCCTATACTATATGACAGCACCTTCCATTCTTATATTTTTGTTTCATTAGTATTTATTGTAGTGTTAGAAGACATGGAAAGGACTGAGTAGAGATCTTGAGAACTCCAAAGATGCTGGCTCAGGGCTCTGGGGCCCCAGCAAGGATACTGAATTTTGCCTAAGAATGAGGACCTATCAGAATCTACGTCAGGACAGGGGGACAGCTTAACATGACTTACACTTCAAATGGGACACTCAGAGTTTCAGACTGTGGGTGCCAAGAGGAATACTGAGATTGTTAATGAGGCTTCTGTGGTTGCTCTAGAAGAGATGGAGTTGGCCAGAGTGGTCCCAGTGGAGGCAGGAAAATAACAACTACACAAAAATCTGACTCAACAGGACTGGCAGTGTGCAGAGATGCAGGTTCTGAAAGTTGAGATGCTGAGGAAGAGTGCAGGCATCTTCCACCTGTCACTGCATGGCAGTATCACGTATGGAGTTAAAGAAACATGGACACTCTCCTGAAATCCACTCCTCTTTTCATTCCTAAAGGTTCTATGGCTCTACTCTCCCTGGGTAAGTTGTTCTTTTATTCTACCCTCAGCATCTCAATGTACCAACTCAAAGTGCAGAGGGATACACTACCGTGTCTTACGTGAACTGTGGCTTAATCGGCATCATCACCATGTTTTCTCTAGAAATTTCCAACTTGTCAGGTCCAAAGGAAACTCTACTCCCCAAACCCCAAAAGGCAGGAAGTCTCTAACTTCCCAACCCCCCCTCAATGTGATTCTGAGCTAACATGTCATATCTCTCTCTTCTGTAGAAAACACGCCTGCTATAACCTAAGGCTCTGCCAGGAATTCCCTGGAAGAATCACAGGAAGTCCTGCTTTGATAACTTTGCCTATACAGAGGTTCTACCGCCAATGTCCTCGCTCTTTTCCTTTCTTAAAATGTGTATCCATCTTAAAACACAAACACAGGTCTTGCTCCTTCAAAATGTCTTTTCCATTTCTCCAGCAACAGTCCTTCTTCCTTCTTCTCAACGGCTACTGCGAACATATACTACCGCTACTGCCATTCATAGCCAAGCAACTGTGGCGTGGAAAACACTGGGCCACGCAGCAGCCTTGATTTGTTATTATTATTTACTATCAGTCATATACTTCCAATTCTTGCCATGACATTTCAAAGCAGAACTCACAATTTGGTTGACCGTCCCCACCCCCAAATCTAAGTCCAGCGAAAAAGTACTGAGAATTGTATTAAGAAATATTTCCACTTAGAACTGTAAGTCAATTTTTTAAATTGCCATTAACCATCTTCATAGGTATATGGCTGTTGCAGCAGAAGTGCTGTGTCATCTCATCCCTGTCTGATATTTTCCCCATTCAGCCTCCTGGTTTGCAGTTCCAGGATTTACAACCTCTGGGGTCACGCCCTCCCTTAGCTTTATCCTATATTCTCCCTACAGAATTGTTCTTTCTCTGCTTCCTTCTAAGATTACCCAAGGAAGACTGAATCTGGCTCCTCCCAAATTAAAGAGGGCGGCTTTAAGAGACACCTTTCATTTGACACAGAAATATTTTCATTTCATCACAACCAATTTATCCCATCTGTTCCTGTAGCAACCATGATGGCAGATTGTATCATTTTCATATTATATACAAAATACAAGTCATAGCAGGTCAAGATCTGATAAAACTAGCAAGTAGCATGTAGTATGGAGGTTTGAATTTGAAACTGCATCTTCTCTTAAGCTATAGGCTGTCATCTTTTTTAATACAATGTTCCTCATGGGATATGGGTAAGAGTGTCTTTTGATTTTCAAGTTCCTTTAGGGCTACAGTTATGTACTTTTCTGTTGCTTAGTAAACTCAACCTGATGATATGAATCGTGGTTGCTGACAGTTCACTCACAAGTCCCTACTGCTTAGCTGTGGTCCAAGTCATCCACGAGATGCTTCTTTGCATGTTTCCCCTTCATCTTGTGGCTGTCTGCCCTGTCTGCTGTGTGCTGACGGATAACTCAGGGGAGGCTGAGTGGAGATAGTTTTCCTCAAAGCCCTCAGGCATCTCTGGACCATATCTCATGGTTTGATGCTATTAGAAACAAC